AACCTTATGAGTAGTGCATTACAAAATCTCAGGAATTATTACCACATAGCTGTTTAGAGGTACTCCAGTTTGTGTCAGTCATTTTACCTAAGGTTTAGGGAGAGAATGAATTCAAAAATCTTTCTGAAAATAACAAATGCTGCTCAATGGATAGAGCTTATTTGAAATGTGGTTCAAAAGGAAAGCTTCATTTCAACAAGACAAGGCAAATTTGGCTTCGTAGATGGTGATAGAAGCGTTACTTCTTTTGCAAATCGAATCAGCAGATAACTTCTGCATCCAATCAAACTGGACTTCATCCTCTTTGCTCCACTCCACCCAAGACAGGAGGATGATTGCGTGAACAAATTGCATTGAATTTTTAATAAATTGTGAACACTGACTTTTTCCTAGGCTGGATTTTTTCAAAAATTTCATGCAATGTATCAATATGGATGGTGGGAAAATCCCACTCTGCAACCCCGACCACTGCAGAAGAGAAAACTATAGTTGAATGGATCGGCCCGGTCGAAGAACAAGTGAGTTATAAACGACACTTTATCTGGTGTTTGGGGATATGCTTGACAAGTAGAGCATATATGGGTGTGACATTAGAACTGAGGAGAAACTGTTCGGATAGACATAGGTTAATTGTTCGGTTGGGGAATAAGAAGATGTCGCAGGATTCATTCGTTCAGGGAATCGATAAGGCAAATCCTGTGGAGCATTGTCTGCATTCCCAAAGACATATTCATACGGATTGGTTAGTTTCACCAAAGCTGTCGATGGTTCGTTGTTTGTAGTTGGCCACTTGCTGAAAGACTGAACTGAACTCGGTGACGAAACTTCGATCTGGTCCAATGCTGAGGAAAGAGGATACTTTGAGCTGATTGTTCCACTGGAGTTTGATGCTTCGAGTTGTGATACATCTTTGCGTTCCCTGGCTCGTCGGTTTTGAAACCATATTTTAATCTGAAAACGAGAAAAACTCGTCCGTTGATTGTGTTGCCTATGAGGAGAAGCTAACACATATTTCAGTTTAAGTTGGAAACGCCACCTAGTAACCCTCTCACTGTGCAACAGCCTACGTGGACGTAATGTAAACTTTACATTCAGAGGAGGGGCTGGTGAAAAGTAAGATTCTGCTGCTGTTCAGGGTCTAACACAACATGGTAAACTAGCTGTTGTAGTAATCAAGAAAGGCATCAGAATACTGATAAAACTAGATCGATTTGGTTAGCCCCAACGAGGAATTGGGTATCTTGAATCGTCTGGCCACACCTTGTCTCAGTTAGTCATTTATCCTACTTAACTTAGTAATGTCTCACCACTAGGAGAAAGGATGTATTTGTGTCAGGTGCCTTTTTTTAAAGTGACTACAAGCTTTGTTGTGGTTGACCTCCAGAGGATTGATTTGTTGCAAGGAGGTGCCGCAAGTCAACCTATTGGACGAAGAGAATGAAGTTCACCCTGAACAGTCGGTAGCACACACACAACACAAACGCCGATTTGATGGATGCAGATATAAGAAAAAACGGTTGCCGGTATCGGCTGCTGTTGTGGTGCGTACAGAGGAAAAATAAACATTTGGCAAAAAGACATTAGTTCTATTAACTATTAGTGTAATGCGTTAAAAACACTCAAG